CGGCAGGAATGTCAGAAGGACATCGAATGGAATGTGGTCGACGATGATGACAATGATGACAATAATAATAACGACGACGACGTATCTTAAAAATAAAACGTGAAAATTTACAGATTCGGACTGTGAGTCGTGATATCTTCGCTCGTAGGCCACGTAGAGAAAAAATGAAAGCACTTTTATTATACAATTTAAGCAATTGCTATCGATTGAGCGTATATAGAACTTGAGCCGTTCAGCCGTTACTGAGATCTGATCATCTCAATCCCCCGAAACTCTCAGTTTCGCGTAAAGGAGGCACGGCAGTGCCGCGGCGCTTGGCTTAGCGCCGAGACACTACCGTGTCTCCAGATATAAAAATATACAGTCCAAGAATCCATGGAAAAGATCTTGCAATATCAATAATGATAATGTGCAATCTGAAGTACCTAACGTTACAACGCAAAAAAAGCAGCGGTTTTTAAGCAGTGCATTTTCTCGTAAAAGTCAACAAGTTGTAGATGATTTCATCATATCTTTTGTTGTAGAGACAATGTCTCCAATGGATATTGTAGAACATCAGGTGTTTAAAAATCTTATATATGGTAATATATATAATGCTTAACGATTATTTATTATTTATTAATACATTGTATATTTATTAATTAATTTATTTATTTACTTTTTAATAATAAATTAATCTAAAATTTATATTGTTTATAGGTATATATTATTATTTTTATTAATATTGTTGATGAATTAATTTCTCAGGTGTTAATAAGCTAACAAATTCTGTGACCGTAATGACAAGAAAAACATTACGGTTACAAATAAATACCAAATTCAGCCATGCTACAGCATCTTACAGAAATTTTGGAAGAAACTAAGTACGTGTGTACTACAGCTGACATTTGGTCGTCATCAAAAAGAAGTTTCCTTGGGATAACTGTTCACTGGGTATTTTTACACCTATTATTTTTACCTATAATAATACATAATGCACAATAAAGCTACATTTTTGACATGTTGAGAATAAATTTTTTCATGAAGTTCTTATATGGAACTTGTAATATTGATATTATAGTTATTTGGAAATACTTCGATTTGTTATATTCACATTTTAATTAAAAATGAAATGTTATTAGAAATAATATTTATCATTTTGTACAATTATATAATTTTTTAAATCAGATTCAGAGAAAAAACAATTACAAATCTTTTCATGTAACGAATTTTTATTAATTCGTTAACAGCTTTTTATTTAAATATATATATATTTTTTCACAGATAAATGCAAGTTTTCAGAGGTAAAGTGCGGCTTTAGCTTGTCGCAGGTTTAAAGGTAGGCATTCTTATGACAAGATTGCTGAAATGATTCATGACATACACTGTGAATATAAACTTGACGCAAAAAAGTTGTAAAAGTAACAACGGATAATGCATCAAACATGGTGAAAGCCTTTTCGATGTTCAGCCAGAAAAATCCAATCGATTTAGATAATAACGGTAATAATGATGATTCAGACGATGATTTCATTATACAAAGCATAACTGAGGGAACTACGGGTGACACCGATGTTATATCCGACATATTTTTACCTGTACATCAGCGCTGTGCAAGTCATACAATAAATTTATTAATCACAGTCGACATCAAAGCTGCATTAATAGGAAACAGTGGAGGGAGCTATAATCGTGCCCATCATTCTGCTTTTGGAAAATGCTCTGCCGTATGGAATTTAACATCTCGATCTCCTAAAGCTGCAGTGACATATGCCGATATTACAGGAAAGGCTTCATCATCACCCTGTGTCACTCGTTGGAATTCGTCCTTCGATTGTTTAAATGATCTTATGACAGTCAAACAATTTCTTGGTAGTGTTTGCGATGCACTTGATCTGCCAAAATTTAAAGAAACTGACTTTGAATTCTTAGTAGCAGACATTGAATGCGTCAAACCAATTGCGGAAGCCTTAGATAGGTTACAAGGCAAGAAAAATTGTTTTTATGGCGAACTTTTACCTATTTTGTTGCAAACGCAAAAAAGTTTACAAAAATTACAACATCGACATTTGAAATACTGTGCGAAATTAGTAATCGTGTTATTAGAAGGCTTATACAAAAGATTCAGTGATTATTTTGATTTTTCCTCTCGAATAAATGATGCTATATTAGCAGCTGTTAGTCACCCGTTTTTTAAATTACGATGGGTACCAAAAGAAAGAAAAAATAGTGTTAAAGAATTGCTTATTAATGAAGCTGAATCTTTACTAAACTCTGTGCCAAAAACTCATAATTCGATAAATATATCCGAAGTCACAAGTAGCTTTTTTCCTTTTGAAGGAGGATCGTCTTCGGATGACAGTGTTACAAATACTTCCGTTAAAAATACTATTAAACTGCAATGCTTGCAGTATTTGCAAAATGAAGATACATCTTTGGACACGCTTAATAACTTTCCTATTGTTAAAGAAGTTTTTATAAAATATAATACTGCACTTCCGTCATCTGCGCCAGTCGAACGATTATTTTCGTATGGAGGTATGATTATGCGTCCTAATTGGCGAAGTATGCACGATGATACATTCGAAAAACAATTGTTACTCAAAGCAAATAGTGCGTTTATTAAATAAAATAAGTCTCGGTTAAGCTATATGATTATCTCTATTACAGCTTGTTAACTTATATATACAATCGTATATATATATATATATA